CTTGCAGGACAGTGCATACTGGGAACTATTTTGTAATTTGTCATGTTAGTTAAGTGGTTCTTAAACTTTTCACCAAAGAATAGCTAGTATCAGAGAAGAGTGGAAATGTAAATCCAAGTAATCCAGGGGCTTAACCCCATTCCATAAGAATCTTAGACTTTTGTGTTATCTGTAAAAATGTATGTAAAATTTGCATTGTATTTCTTAATGTTTGTGTTTGTTCCAATCTAGAAACAGTGTTTTCCCCCATAAGCTCCTTATCTTTGTGAAAATCAACTCTCCTAAATACATGTTGCTTATTTATTGTACAGCGAGCATATCTGAGTGTGGAACTCCAGTTTGAGGGTCATGAAATTAGTATATGGAGTATCTTAAACAGACAATGACCATTTCCATGAAAGGTGAGACTTCAGATGTCTTGCAGAAACCAAGAGGGAGAAAGTTACACAGAAGTAGCACCTCTTTCCTGGGAAGGAAGCAGGGTCAGCCATAGGAGATGATGATAACTTCATCCCTGAAAGCTGGCAGCTTTTTGTTCTGGGTAGACCCAGAGGCCCCTCTGTGTGATTCTCTGGGCTCCAGACTGGGGGCTCTGGTCCCACCATGCCCCAGGGAGGCCACAATCTGAAAGACGTAGCGTGACTTGCTGCCTTGAGGCAGGCTATGTGCTGAAACGGAGGCGAGACAGACTGTCAGCGTGGAAACCATGCGGTGACAGCTTCCTTCACCCTCCAGACCTGTCAGCTCACAGGGGAACTGACAGGCCTGGACTAATAAGGTAAACAAAGGCTTTAGAGCACGGAGAAGGAATGCCGAAATTCTTTCTTTAATGTTTCCCTATTCATAACATGTCAGAGACTTAACGCCTGGCCCAGTAGAGGCAGCAGTTCCTGGCTTTTAAGATCTCCCAAGGGTAGTGTAGGGCAAGATCGGAAGCCCAGAGGCTGAGTGCAGAGTCAGAGCACCTGACCGCTTCCTTGGGAAGTCCTAAAGTAGCTTGTCTGAAAATAAAGTCTCAACTGTAGCCTGCTGGCTGAGGCCCAGTCACAGCCATCACAGCCATTGCCTGACTTTCTCTCTCCCCATTCCAAAGTTCTTCCTACTCACTCACCTTTCTCATTCCAGAAGCTCAGTTACACTTCTCTTAGACACTGCCAGGGAAAACCACCTGAGCTTTGCCTTCTCGGAGCTCTAGCCACTGTGCATCCTCCCATTTCATTCTAGAAAAGGCACCAGTTTTTCTGGGTCACCCACTCCCCTCCCCCCAGTCCTCCTGCCTCACATTAGGTGTTTCTGTCTCCTGGACCCCTTTCCTATCCACCCACTCACCCTCCCCCTTACACGTCAGAATCTGTCTGCAGGGCTGGGGTGGCAGTAATACAGTATTTTTGTACCATTACTTAAAAAGACAAATGGCCTGTTAGGCTTTTAGGATGTAATTTAAAAGCCATTTGTCTAGTGGTGATAACTGGAAATGGACTTCCGCTATAGGCCAGGATGACTTCCTCCTGGAGCACTGGATTGGCTAATGGTGACCACTTGGCCGTGGCTGTTTTCAGATGTACTACTGCTTCCACTGGAAGGTTTGGGGAGGGGGGAAATGGTATTTTGAGGGGACTGTGAGCTCATGGAGGCCTTTGGAGAAAGGCCGATGCTGCTGCTCTTGTTCATGTGCTGAGAGGACCAGGAATAAAAATAAGTTCACAAGGATGGAGATCATGATGATTTTAACAGCCAAATCTCACCCATTGGAACCCTTGAAACTTGAAAAGTTTGGGCTTCATCTTTGTTCTGTCTTTAAGAATCAGCAGGTGAATTTGAATTGTCTAGCTTTGGTGTATCTCAGAAGTGACATTTCTCAGACAACTGTGGCTTTTTTCTACAGAGAGCAGTTTTATTTTAACCATTCATGACAGTTTTCAAGAACATATTACCTGTGCCTCTTCTTCAACAGAATTGTTGCAGAGATGTTAAGTGCTCATTGATGACTCAGGACCATTATTTTGAATGCCAATTTTAAAGACGTCTTCGTTTTGCTATTCTTTTATTCATTATATGTTATTTTATAATTACATCACTTCATCCATCTTGTCATTTAATATACATTTACTCTTTATTTAGTGGGGAAAGATGATGGAAACATCCCAAGTAACAGAATAAATGATGATGTCTTAACTCTATGGATTACTCTGTGATCTTTGAAAAGGATGTTGAAGACTACTGACATAAAAATTAAAATATTGGAAAGCATTTTTCTGTATCACTAAGTTATACAGATGCACATGTTCAAGCTGGATTTAGAAAAGGCAGACAAACTGGGGATCAAATTGTCAATATCCACTGGATCATACAAAAAGCAAGAAAATTCCAGGAAAAAACATCTACTTCTGCTTTATTGGTTATGCCAAAGCCTTTGACTGTGTGTATCAAAACAAACTGTGGAAAATTCTTCAAGAGATGGGGATTCCTCCTGAGAAAACTGTGTGTAGGTTAAGAAGCAACAGTTAGAATTGGACATGGAACAGCAGACTGATTACAAATTGGGAAAGGAGTATGTCAAGGCTNCAACAGAGGATGAGATGGTTGGATGGCATCACCAACTCGATGGACATGAGTTTGAGCAAGCACTGGGAGTTGGTGATGGACAGGGAGGCCTGGCATGCTACAGTCCATGGGGTCGCAAAGAGTCGGACATGACTAAGCAACTGGTCTAAACTGACTGAAGTGATGCAGTGGGCCACTAAACATTATATACATCAGGGTGACCCCTATGCCTGGGAATCCTGTTGGGTTCTAATTCCAGACAGTTCAAATCAATGCATGAAGATGCCAAAGTAGTCAGCCCTAGATAAAAGTTCTGTGTGTTCAGTTAAAGGATTCCAGGCAAAGCAAGCAACGTTTACTGATCACCTAACATGTACCAAACTCTATTTCAGTTGTTTTCATGTTATCATCACTCTGGTAATGACGCTCTGTGATTACCTTTGTTTTCATAGACAAGGAAGCTAAGGCTAAGAGATATTGTGTGGCTTGCTCAGATTCACACAGTTGAAAGAGTGGGGCTAGGATTTGGATATAAATATTGATATAATTGACTCCAAGTCTGTTGTACTTGCTTCTACACTGCACCGATTATCTATTGCTTCAGTAATGCTGCATGATGCATGACAGGCAACCACAAAACCACAGTGGCATGCAACAGTAAGTGCATATTGTTCACCCCTCTGGGGTCAGCTGGGAGTCGGCCAGGCACTTCTGCTGTTCTTGGCTGGGCTCAGCCACATGTCTTGTGGTTGACTGGCTATTGGCTGATCTAGGCTGGCCTTGTCTGGGGCAAATGGGGTGACTTGGCTCTGCTCCACATGTCTTTCATCCTTCAGCAGGCTAGCCCAGGCATGTCCTCATGGCAGTGACACAGGTGGAACAGAGCAAAAGGAATCATACAGCCCCTTGAATCATATAGGCTGAGAATAGCACACAGTCATTTCTATTGGCCAAACCAAGTCACATGATCCAGTTCAGCAACAAGAGTGAGGAATATATTCCTCCTCTTTTATGGAAGAACTACAAAGTTTTGTTGTAAAGGGTGTGGATACAGGGAAGGGTGAAATTGAGGCATTGAAGGCCAGCTTCTTCTGGGGGGTGGAGAGGAGGAAGACAGATATCTGTTGAACCAAAATAACATTATTCTATAATATGTTATTAGAAGATTGTCCCATCCCTAGATAAATTTGAGAGATGCTGAATAAATCAAAATGAAGATTTATCTACTGCAATACTTCTTGGTGCCTTCAATATTTCAGCATGCATTGTGATACTATATGGGAAGAGTATTCAATATTTCCCAAACTAATTTTTTATACAGCCTACCTGTTAACACCGCTTAGGAGAAATGTTCTGAGAAACCCCAATTTTGAAAATAACAGACTAATGACTCTTGTAAGTGAAAGTGAAAGTTGCTTCAGTCATGTCCAACTCTTTGCAGCCCCATGGACTACACAGTCCATGGAATTCTCTAGGCCAGAATACTGGAGTGGGGAGCCATTCCCTTCTCCAGGGGATCTTCCCAACCCACTGATCAAACCCAGGTCTCCCGCATTGCAGGTGGATTCTTTACCAGCTGAGCCACGAGGGAAACCCAGTGACTCTTAGGGTGACTTTTAACACCAAGTCCTACTATTCGACACTACCCTGTATCACGGGGACACACTCTGGAACCATCAAGAGAAGGAGAGAGGTGCTTTTGTTGTGTATCTCCCAATCCCTACGTTAAATGAATGCATCTTCACGACCCAGAAAGCAAACACACAGACCTGCGTCCACTGCACATCTTTGGCTGTCAGTGCTTCTTGCTCCTGCACTCTCATGCTGAGGTGCCATATCTCGGCAAGAGGCTGAAGGACATGCGTCCTCTAAGAGTACAAAGCATGGTCTTGGTGAAGTAGAAAGTTTTCTGTTCCTCAGCTATTCTTCCCACTTCCCAGGGAGTAACGTGATAGTTCTGTCCTGAGATTCCCGCAAGTATTTCCTTCAGGTAACTGCTGTGGTATATTAAAAAAACAAAAACCAAAAAAACTGCAGGAGCAAAGGTAGCTCAATTAAAAGCACAGTTGTCACACAATTTAGGAACATGTGCTTGAATATAGTTAAGCATGTGAGTATAAAGGATGATTCTTCTCTATTTGGTAAAATGGGACTAACAAAATTGCTACTTGTTGAACTTTTTTAACCTCCTTCAGAGCCCTGTGTGTGCATGAAAATACCAATGTAACATAAAAAGAAAACAAGTCTCTAAGGCAGACTTTTTCACATGAAAAATGGTGTGATTTTTCTAACCTGGTTTTCCTTGCTCTGCTGAGTAATGCCCTCCTTGCCCTCAGCTGAGCTCTGAGGCCTGGGCTCTGTCTGGCACTGCTTCTGGCTCACCCTGCCAGCTTGCTCAGGAGGACTTTTTGGCCAGAGAATTACACCACTTATGTTCCCCTCTGCTTGACACCTAGGCAGCTGGAGGACTGATTCCTTGACTCCACTCCTGCCCTCCACCTCCTCCTTGGAACTGCATCCACTGATCTCTGACTTGGACCCTGCTATTTGGAAGTACCAGCCTCCCTGTGTGCTAGGAGATCTGACAAGGACGGGAGTGGGGGCCTGTAACCATTGCTTCAGACAGACTCTTCCTTTCCTCCAGAGGCTTAACAAAAATGATTGGAGTTGATCTGGCAGGGCTGGAGATGACCTGCCATCCCCCTCTTCCAGTGATCTCCGTGCACGAGCACAGTGCTTATTGTTCTGGGGTTCACACCCACTCCACATACGATCACGTGTGAACTCGTGCTCTTTGGAACTGTGTTCATTTACATAACACATTTCTCAGGTGCCCATAAGTTATGCATGAGTCTGTGTTAATCATCTGAAATCTCATTTGAACACAACACTTTTTTTCTTACTCTGCAGGTTTCCCTCTCTCTCCCACTCAAGCTCATGCAGCGCTTCAGAAGCAGTTGGGTCTCTTTCCTGACACTGTGGGGGAGGTGCTCAGAAGCCCAGGTGGAGGGGGGCATCTCACCCGAGGCAACTTGATGGGCTGGCAGAGGATCTGTAAGGGCCAGGAGTCCCTGCCCCACAAACCCTTCCTCCCTCCTCATCCTCCTTTCTCCAGGCTTGTTGGAGAAAAAGCTAGGAAAGCTAGTGTATGGGACAGTCAAGCCATTCTGAACTAGCCCTGGGCTCATGCTTCTGGGAGCCTTTCCCAGAATTCCACTAGGCAAGGCCTCTGTATTGACTAATGTCCAGTGATTATTTCCTCTTGCTAGAATTCTCAAGAGCTGAGAATGGATTTTTCTCAGCCACCGGAAGGTGTGAGCTGAAGCGCTACAGAGGACAGAATTTTAAGTAGTTCTCATCAGGGTTTGCCCCTACGGGAATTCACTCCTCTCCTCTGCCTGGCTCCATCCTGCTCCCCGTGTGTCCTGACCTGAGCAAAAGCCAGGTTCAGTTCCCACAGGTGCACAGACCCCACTCTCCCAAATGAGAGAGATGAGAAAAGTGATGAGAGCTGATATCCCTGCTTCCCAAAACAGGAAGCAGGCGGGATAGATTGACTTGATATGGAGCTATCAGACTGCAACTTGCTCACACTGGGACTTTTATCACTGCCACTCATCAGCACTCCGGCAAGCTCATGAATAATGTATTTCCCAGTGATTTCCTTCCTTATTTGCTAGCTCGAGGCAATATTGATTTTTTAAAAAGTCTACATAGCTGAGCTGTTGTGGTAACATTTATTTAAAACAATTGGGAGACAGAACACACATATATTTTTATCTACATATGTGTTAGTGTCTGTTGTCAGTGGATAATGATGTTCGCGTAAGAGGCCACTGTTGTTTATTCAGCATGTTTTTCCAATCAAAGACTGGTTCAGACTGGAACCCTGAGGCAGGTTGAAACAGCTGTGTGGTGGTGATGGACCAGGAAGACAAAGCAGAGTGGACTGGGATGAGGGTGAGGTGGAGTCACAGGTGTGGAAACCGAGCCGTGGAATTAGCAGTAAGGTGGTTTCCCTGGTGGATCAGACAATAAAGAATCTGCCTGCAATGCAGGAGACCAGGGTTCGAACCCTGGGTTGGGAAGATCCCCTGGAGAAGAGAATAGCAATCCATTCCAGTATTCTTGCTTGGAGAATTCCATGGACTTAGGAGCCTGGTGGGCTAGAGTCCATGGGGTTGCAAAGAATTAGACACAACTGAGCGACACAATTAGACACAACTAGACACAATTAGACACAACTAGCACACAATACACACACACGCACACTCCCTTGTTATTCAGTTGAGGGCCCACACTCCTCTACCCTTTCTTCTCTCTGCATCCCTGTCCTGGGTGCAAAACCTCTCCTGGCTGCACCAGTTTCCATATGAAAGGGGCAAATGTGATGGTGACTTATGGGTGATGCTCCTGCAAAGGGGCCAAGAAAGTAAAACAATCTAAAGTGCTAACTAGCGTTGGTGACCACGAGGCTGATCTTGGGGAAAGAAGAGGTCCAGTGGGGCTGGGGAGGCAGCAATTGCCCTGGGTGGCGCTGTCCTTCTAAAACGTGCCGGTGGGTAACTGGCATCCTTACCTGGGAAAGGCACCTGGCTCAGTGCCTCTGTGTACTTTATGATTCTCAGCAACTGACAGAGAGGAGTGCATACCTGGAATTACTGTGCTGATGGCAGGCCTGACGCCCCCAGCCCTGCTCACCCACCCACCACCTCGGGCGAACCAGAGGCATGCTTCGAATTTGACAGGCTGTCCTGGCCTCCTACTTAATTATATTGTCACACAAGCTTTCAGGGATTCCAAGAAGCGAGCCCTCTTCAGGGAAATTTAATTCTCCTCCCAAGCCATTCACTTAGCCCTCCCCTCACCTCTCTGGTCTTTCTCTCAGAAGTTCAGCAAGTGCTGGACACCTGCTTGGTGTTGAAAGAGGGTCTTATTAGGAGGTCTTATTAGGAGGGTCTTAGGAGGAGGAGGTGACTGAAGTAATCCTCCTTCACGCCCTTCTGTGCCTGGCACTCAAGGCTCAGGCTTCATCTCCTGGGGCGGGTTCAATGGCGGAAGCGGAGAAGCCACAGTCTCTGAAGCTCTGGAGAGAATCCCCGAGAGGCTGTGGAGGGTCAGAGAGGTGGAAGAGGAGAGCACGGCTGGCCGGCTGAGGCTCCAGTCTCTCCTGCCCTCTGACTCACTGCTCCTACAAGCTACTGATTAGAACCCTGAATTCTCACCCATATGGCCCCCTACTGTTTTGAAGGAATTTCACATAGAATGTATTGTGTGGACTTCCCCCATATACTGGAGTTGGTTGCCATTCCCTTCTCCAGGGGGTCTTCTTCACCCAGGGATCCAACCCAGGTCTCTTCCATAGCAGACAGATTCTTTACCATCTGAGCCCCCAGGGAAGCTCCTATAGTCTAGATTATGCCCTTAAACCCCCCCATTCAGTTGTCTTATTTAGGCTTATCTAGTTGAAGCCCTCTCATCTTTCCTTCCATCTCAACCTTGTGAAAAAGAGAAGGTATCGACACTCTGCCTCAACTTCATAACTTACGGTCCCCCCTCCACTGGAGCTGCCTTCTTTAAGGTGACCATCAATGTCCAGGTCTAATCTTAGGGCCCTTTCTGAGTCTTCACTTGCTCTGGTGCATTTTTTTCCTATTACCAATTTCCAATGCCCTTCCCCTTCCTCCCAGCACCCCTCACACCTCCTCCAGGTCCAACCCCACCTACTCCCAGTGTACTCACCTACTCCCAGAGCACCCCCAGTCCACGCCTACCTGCTTCCAGTATACTAACCTCCTCTCAGGGTACCTCCAGACCACTCCCAACTTCTCCCAGTGTGCCCTCATGTTATAAGCTGGTAACATGTTCAACCCAAAGAAATGGGTCTCCAATGGTATCACTGCAGGCATCAGTGCAGATACTATTTGGGGTCAGTCAACCGTGCTAGTGATTTCTCAAATCTTCCCATTTGCATAACTACCAGCTTGGCCCACATTCAGGAGGTGGCTCACGGTCCCTATAACTAGTCACCCCGCAGTGATGTTCACCCACTTCCATCTCTTTGGTCCCAGGTGGTCCTGAAGGCCTAAGTGCTCTGTGTTTTGGAATTCCGATTCCCCCATTTGCTGAGCAGCATGTGGAACTGAGAGTTCATGTGGGTGAAATGGAAATCACCCTCCTCCCCCCCTCTTGTTGAGTCAGAAGCCTGAAGCTGGACCCCCTCTCAGCTTGGCTCTTTACTTCTACTCGCCTAACAAGGAAGTGGCTGAAAGGAGGGCTCGTTTCCTCTGCAAGGCGTGGAGAGAGGGAGCATGCACAGCCGACTCTCGTTTATTTGAAATTGCTCCATGGCGCAAGGCCCGCTAATCGATCATTTCTCTGCAAACGTCAATGAGAGAAATGTGAGTTCCGTATTTATAAAGCCAGAAAAATGGGGGCTTTTCCCCCACCTCCCAGGTGTGTACTTATGCACTGATGAATGACCCCAAAGTGGGTTTGTTATAGAAAACGTTCGTGCCAAAGACAAGAACCTTGCATCTGGAAACACAGTCTGACAATTAGGCCTCTGAGCCCGGAGGCCAGCATTCAGGCTCCGCGCTTGTTTCCTGGCTGTGATGATCACATCCTTATTGCTGGGGTGAATGCAGGATTTTTGGAATTTGGATCCTCTTGGTTTCTACAGCACCGTCCCTTGAGGTTGCTTTGTGTTCTGTTTCAGTTTTGTTTGTTTGTCTGGTTTTTGGCGCTGGGGTTGGAGCTGTAAAAATCTTGGAATCTAATCAGATTCTGTGCAGGAGAACAAAACTCTAACCCCAGTCTTATCACGAGAGGAGAGCTCTGAGGAATAAGGGATTAAGACCCTTTGAAGTAGTTAGATGGGGAGTTCCATGCAGACTTGGGGTGCCCTGATTGGATAGGCATTTCCCAGGAGTCTGCACACCCCAGCTCCACCTTGGGGAACAGCACATCTGTACCAAGACGTGATCCTTGACCCCAATTCCTGCCCCCCACCTCCAGTCGTCTAAACAAGGGCACCCTTTGTTTAAGAAGGAGACTGAAATAGGAATCGCACTTCCAAAATAGCATTTACAAAAAGGGACAGAAGTGAATCGTTAGTACTGGTTAAGTTGAAAACGATGTGTCCTGCCTGGACTCCCAGAGATCTTTCTCCCTGGGTGAGATCTGAGCTGAGTAATGTGTGACCAATCTGAGCCTGTGTTTTATGCACTTTGGGGGAAAAAATCAGCTGCTGTGAAAGGGTTAAAAATTTGAGAGCCTCAAGCGACAGGCACATCCAGTTTCAGTCGGGAAGAAAGACAAGTGTTTTGTTAGTAACTGGATATGGCTGGAGCTGGGTTTTGGCCTCCCGTCCCTCTGCAGGTTGAGCCTGGGCATGGCCCAGTTCTTGTAGTTATTCGGAGGTGGAATTGAGGCAGAGGCTCTGGAAGGCAGGGCCTGGGATGTGCTACCCACCACATCCATGACGCGGAGGGAAACAAAGCCTAGGGAGGGCTGTGGACTTGATCCAGGTCATCCTTAATAG